TTTGATCGTAAGCATTTGTCTATACATGCCATTAGCCACCATCGTACCGTTAAGTCCCTCTCAAACTCGACGACGGCTCGTGTCCTCCGTCATGCCGATTTATCTCGCACGTCCGCGAGACGTATAGCCAACGATCGACACAATACTCATACCCACACACAGACACACCCCTCATAACGCACGCGATATCCGAAACAGAGTTTCTACTTCCGCACGCGAGTGTATTTATAGCTAGTTGCCTACTGTACGGGCCGAGGAGTAGCTCCACGAACGCGCGCCCATCAATCAAACTCATAATCCTCGGGCTCCAACGCTCGTTATGCGCGTATGAGCCTCAGAAGAAACCGATCGTCGTACAAATACACGCTGGGCCAGCTAGTTGTACATCTTGTTGCCGGGGGATCGGCTTTCGGTACTTTTCTTTGACGAAAGCGCGGCTCCGGAACACTGGCCTCTGCGTGTTTCAACACATGTACCTATACACTGGATGCATATAGTGAAGAGGCCCAAGAGGACTACATGGTCTCAACGACACCTACTGTGCCCTTTTCTCTAGGTACAATAAAAAAAAAAAAAAAAAAAAAAAAACACTCGTCCAATTTATTCAACGACATATACAGGTAAAGTTTTATGCTAAAAGTAAACAAACACCAGAATCTTTTATTTATAGAAGAAAAAAAAAAAGTTATCTCAAAACGGCCACTCTCCCATCATCAATTCGCAGAGCGAGTAGGAGCTCTCTCGCGCGCGAGAGCAAAGGAAGATCGAGCAACGCGATAGAGAACACTGCAGACAAGAGGAGAAAGAAGAAAAAAAGCAAAGGACGAGGAGGTGGGGGAGGGGGGTCGGTGGCGAGAGATAGGTGGCGGGCAATTTACTTATTGCTAGATAGCCCGAGGGGGTACGACGCCCGGGCGGCCCCCCTCGCTCCTGTCCTAAACAAGATTCAATTTGGCCACTAGCGGGTATACACCTTCAAAGAACCAGAATCACCATCCCCCTCCTCCTCCTCCTTTCTTCCTTTTCTTTTCTGTCCATAGTGGCCCGCGCGCGAGACTTCCTCCTCTATTAATCTTATATCGAACGCTTTATCCGCCACCAGTCTCGCTTCACTTTACGTACACACACACGTCGTCGTCGTCCCCCTTTTTTTTTTTTGGTATTTTTTTTTTTCTTTTCACTCTTATGACCACGCGTCCGCGTCCAACAACTTCAAGGGCTCAGGGTTGAACGGTGGACTGGAATTTTCAATTCCTCCCTGTCGGGTGGGCCGAGGGGATTAAGCTCGACTACTAATACGTTCCCGTTACTCTCCCTCTCTCTTGGCTTTCGATAAGCGTCAGAGTCAAGGATAATACGCCCCGAGAGTTGGGAGACGGGAAACTTTCAATGACAAAGAGATTTAAAAAATTAAAAAAAGCAGCCCTTGCTCCCGTTGGACCCACCAAAGCGAAAAGAGAGTAGTGGGATGCCGCTGAGTGTAGGTATATACTGCGAGGAAGGTGGCGCGATTTTTATATACGTATACATACGAGCAGAGACGAATAAGTAACGCGGAGGTCCATTATGCCGAAAATGCCGAAGAGAGAAAGACGGTGGCTGCGGGTCAAGCCGGAGAGAAGCCAATACCCCCCGGGGGGTCGTTAAAGTGAAATACTCTCCCGAATGCAAGGTGGCCGGTCCTCTCTCTCTCTCTCTCTCGGCTACTTCTTTTCGCGTTCGCACTCTCTCCCTCCGTTCTTTTCCCAAGTAATCTGGTCTTTTTTTTTATCCTCCTCCCACCCCTCCATTTTTTTTTTGTTCTCTCGTCGGGTACCAGCAGTAGCCGCACGCACAGCTATAGGGGCGAGAGTCTCGAGCCGCGTGTAGGTAAATCGTTGTTATCTGGACAGTGATAAACCCGTGAATGGAGTTTTCGGGTCCCCGGCGTGTATGTATTGTACCTCTATACAGGCACGGCGGGACGAATGGATGGTCGAGAGAGATGCAAAAAGGGAGGGGAGAGGAATAACGAGGAGCCATTGGAGGCTGGGATCGAGGGAGCTTCGGACGGATGGCTCTGTTGATGCCAAGTGCCCATATGTATATACTCGGCTCCAGAAAACCCTGGAATGGTTGGATTTTGCTTGTTTCATTTGATTCAAATGTAACATTGTGTGGAAAAGTTTTAATCATCCAAAAGAAAGCGAGTCAGGTACATCGTAAAACGCGATGACGAATAGTCGTGCTTTTCAACATACGTACGAGCAGGGCAAAGCACACGCACATATGAACTGCTAATATGTACTCAATAAAAGTTTCGAGTCCCGTGAGCTGCGACAGGGAGGAAAGCCCGTGGAGATAATTCAATTTTCCCTCGAGGTCGTATAAAATGAGGGTTGTTTCGTTTGTCCGGTACTTTTTTTCTCTCCCTGCGCGAGACATAGGGGGCAATATATAGGTATATATACACGTGACACGCGGTATAGGGGTGGCTACGAACACCGGACCGTAAAACCTATGCCATGCAAACATCGCGAGATTAAAGGAGGTCCCCGGCAAGCCCCAAGGAAGGAGCAGTGGATGCCTGTGACAGGTCGCTGACTCGTGTATGTAACGTGGTCGGGATAAACTGAACCGACGACTGGCGTCTTGATCGTATACACCTAATTTATACGCGAGACAACGAAAAATCAATGGAAATGTAACTTAACCGATTAATTGCTGATTTGACACTTGTGCATTGTTCGTTTCCAAGCTTTAAAGGTCTTTTCAACTCGGACGCAACAAAGAGTGTATATTATACTCCCTAAACGTTGGAAAATTGATCGTTTGACAGAAAAAAAAAAACAAAAAAAAAAAAAAAAGCCCGAAAGAATAACAACAGCCAGAAGCTCGTGGTTCTCCCTCATCGGATGCAGCATGTCAAGCGAAGAAGAAGAAGAAGAAGAAGCTACTGCAGCAGCAAAGCCTCCTCTCCCCTTCCGCCCCAGTAAACTTCAATCGCATTCCCTCCGATTCCACTTTGCTCTGCGTATAGCTCCTCTCCTCCAAAAGCAAGAGCGACGCACACGCGAAACTTTGCCATGTATAACAGTACCAAAGAGAGGGGGAGGGAGCGGAGCAAATCATTCATCAAGCAAATAATGCCGCCGAGGCAGTATATCGTATATAATATATAATGTGGTATGGTGTACAAGTGAGTCAGGAGAAGAAGAAGAAGCGAGACGTTTGCGCGTTTTCTCATTTCTCGAATTCGTCACGCCAACGTGAGCGCGCATAATTTGTTACACGAGCGCGAGAGTATACGCATGTCTTTGTGTGTGCGCGGGCGGTCAGAGTACGAGCTAGATTCGCCCCGCGGCTCCGAGGTCTTTCTCTCTATTAATCGTTTCTGCTGCTGTTGGACAATGTCGTTTTTATTTTCGAGACCGAAATTTTGATTGTCCTCATCTGGTGCCCGTTGGTGTATATGCCTACACGAGTGTTGTGACACTGGGTGTTAGACGCTCATAAATTTCTTTTGAGTAGAAAAAAAGAAAAATAAAAGAAGAACATACTCTCAAAACGACTCGTAAAAACAATGAAATCAGTTCAGAAAAGAAACAAATGAGCGAATGGACGAGCTCTCCTAAACATTCGTCTCGTAGAACCATATGGACACCCGAACAATGGAAAAAAATAAATGAGTTCCGAAATAACATATATTACGGCTAAAGCGAGTGTGTACAACTGTATATGTGCTTCCCGAGAGATCGGCGATATGCAAATGCCAGGGTGTAGTGCATTTTGTTAGCTCCCGGCGCGTATCTGCATGTACTCATTACTCACACGAGGCTTCGGTACGCATATACTTCCAGCACGTGGGTCGGGGAGAGCCGCGAAATTGAAATCGCGCATGAGAATCATTGTAATCGGGCTCTCGGTGCGATGGATTATGATTATTATTCATCAAAAAGCGAGAATCATTGCGCAAATTTTAAGCTCGGCTGGTTTTAACGAGCACTTTTAATACCAAATGTGTTTCACTCGCGCTCACGTGCAATATGTACACACAGGCAAAGAACATGTATGCATATTTACACATACGATGGTTGGAGCTACCCCCGGAGCTCGTATACGTAATTAGACACTTGGCGTGTAGGGCAACACGACGCACACGCACACGAGCAGAGACCCATTGTTCTGGGAAATTACGTGAAAGTAGGGAAAGCAGTCGTCCCTGGGATATACTTGGGTATACACGCTCGGACCACCCTCGAGTTCACATCCACGCATAATCGAGCCACCCTTCGAAGGAGAATTGCATCCGAGAGGGGGTCGATAGCCTCTCGTGCGTACATAAATCCGGAGACGAGGAGAGCCAGGACTGCAAGGCTGGATTGACGAAGGTGGACGCGTGCGGAGAGTGGTGGGAGAGTAGACGGGGGTGGGGTAGGGGTGACCATCGCTAATTACACAAACTGTTCCACGGAGGGGCTGGTATGTGCTTGTCCATTATAATATTGGACCGGGAGAGATGGACGTATATCCACGGGCGACCTTTTTCCATTTTCTATTTCTCTGTGCGTGCTCTTCGTTTATCTCAACATGGATGTGTGTATGAATAATGCTGCGTTGGCGTGACGCGTCACGTTCGTGATATATACAACGAATCTCGCGCTGACCAATTGCCCATTCACCATGAAAACGTGGATCTATTCCGAGAAGAGAATTTAGAGAAAGCCTCGCGTTGTAAATTGCCTGTTTCACACGTACACGTATAAATTACATTTCAAATAGTCCCCTGTGTAATTATATAAATTTATTGGGAAAAATTTAACCTTACAAAAATAAAAACAGCTTATTCATTTTTGTGACATTTTTTTCGTTTTTCACGCTAATTGAGCCAATTTTGAAAGATTTTTTTCAATGGAATAATTATTAAAAAATAGTGTTTTTTGTTTTTTTTTGTTTTTTTTGTTTTTTTTTGTTCAAACTAATGTAATAAAATCTAATATTCTTTTTATTGTCCGTTACAGGTAAACTATGGCTCAGCGAGAACGAAGTCACGTGGCGAAGCGAACAGAGCTTGAAGCGCTGCTCGCCCCTGAACGCGTGCACGACGGCGATGACGATGGGAACAACGACGCCGGCGACAACGATGCCAATGACGACGACGACAGGTGTCTTGGCGCACCCTCGCCTATCGCCACCCGTACAAGTAGCCCCCACGAGTACTCCCGACCTCAAGAGTCCCTCGGGCCTTCAGATCAAGCACCTCCGCGTTTCACCCGGTAAGTACGACAATCAACAACCATAACAATTAGCTCATCGTACCTCGCAGCGAGTGTGTTAAAGGTGCGCCTTAAAGATACATCTCGCGGTAAACTATCGATATCCCACCATCCCTCCGAAAAAAAGGAGTTTCGAGCAATCTCGCAAGACGAAGCCCACCAAAGGAAAGAAAACTCGGTCCTCCTCGTTTGCCTAAACAAACGCGCCCCCTGGACCTACACCGGACTCGCTCTCCTTGGGTCTACCCACTTACAAAAAGGACCGGAGGTGGTCCTAGTCGAGGGGGAGAGCCACTTCGCGAGATGTTTAATGCATCGTCGGCCCGGCATTTCCATGTCAAACACCACGTGCCTTTGACTCGCGGAATTTAAAACCGCTACTTGGACTCCCGTGCTTTTTACTCCTTCCCCATCCACCCACGTCCTTCTTCGCTCGCGTACGGGCTCTCCGAGTGATTCGGTTTGAGGAATGCCCACCTCTCCGTACACGTATGTGTATACAAGGTGCTTTTTATTCGTATACGCGTGCATGATTCGCTCGATCGATAGGAGCCTCGGACTCGTGCTCCTTAATTTTTTTTTTTTTTCCCCTCTGTTTCATCAAAGCACCGCGGTGTTGGAATTACCCCGAGACGCAGCCGGAAAATGATAAATCATACAGAGAGAAAACGGAGGAGAGGGCCTTTTTTCAAGGGACGTAAATCGATTGTCGAGCACACTCGATTTGCCAATGTAAAGAGGAGCGAGGAGAAGAAGAAGAAGAAGGTGTCTCTTAAAAAGTAATCTTCAAAGTCACCCGACTGTGTAACGCAGTGCGTACTGTCTCGCGTGTGAATTACACCCCGGCTGGTGTCTCTTCCGAAAAAAAAGAAAAAAAAAAGGGGGGGGAGAGAGTCCCTTCTCGATGTACTTCTCCCTCGGGACAATCGCTTTTCCCCGAGAAGAGCCTCGAAAAAGAGGAGCTGTCCGTTCGCACGGAAGTATTTAAATTTTGTTTACTCGAGCAGCCCTTCTCGGGGCAAGGGTGAGCGGAGGGCATTTTTTTTTTTTTTCCTTACACGGCTCCGAGGCACCTTTGAGGCGTTTAGATGTAAAGTCGAAATAACAAGTATAATATATACACAAACCAATCAAAGTTGGAGCAAAGGGACATTCGTCGCTCAACCCCGTAGTACACATTATTACTATGAACTCGTATGGCCAATAATAATGTATTAGCTACTCTTTAATAAAGATGTAGAAACACATTTATGAATAGGCCATACGTGGCCATCGTCATCGTGTACGTACACGGGTAGAAGGAGAGGGTTGTTGGCAGTGAAAAGGGGTCCAACAACGTGAAATATCGACTACGCGTATATATACGTGGGCTCCAACTATTATTGCCGAGTGTAAAACACGGTGACATTTGGCGCTAAATCGATCACGAGGTGGGAGGTGGTAGGGGGGGTTTATAGCGTGTGCCGGGTGCTCGTGGCTGGACCGGGCCGTTCGCGCGGAAACAAATGCCCGCCTGTATAGGTATGCCGTGTGTGCTGCCTTTTTCTCTCGGCTATTTTCTTTTTCGCCGACTTTTCGAGGGATGGCGTATTTCACCTCGGGTTATTGAAATTTCGATGATTTGTCCCCGTGAAGCAACACGCCATGGATCCCAAAATTAAATCGACGTGCGTGTGGGAGCTTTGAATAAAAAAGGTCCATCAGCTGGAGTTTCAAGGGAGAAGAGAGCATAGACGTATCAATTTCGCGGATAATTTATCGGGAGGAGGCACGTATTATACACACACACGCCTGCCCGCGTAATTAACGGATTATAAACTAACGAGAGAAAGAGAGAGGGATAGGGAGTGACTCTCGCGTGCGTGTATGCTGCATCGGCTAAGTATATGAAGGAAGGAAGAGGGTCGGCTGGCAGTCGCATTTTTCAGATCATAATTTTAGATAGGGAGGAACGGAGGTGGAGGCAAGTGATGCGGCGTGTGTAGGCAAATTGAGGTGAGAGATTGCGAGGTCACGGCTAAAGTGCACACTGTAGCATATATATACGGGAGATAAGGTATATACGTATGGTAGCTTGAGCGTCTCCGGCGCACGATATTCTCCCCCGGTGTACTTATATACGAGGCCGCGTTCGTTAATAAGGAAAACTTATAGCGGGTAGGTATGAAGGGTGCCTATATATGTACACGAGTAGTTGGTGGTAGTCGATAATACGAGCTGGCGTTTGCGCGGATTTGTTCCTTATTTCGTTTCCACCGAGCGAGAGATTTACGAGGGAAAACAGGGAGGGGATTTTTTTTTCTTACTACTTTTTCTTGCTTTTACGAGATGGTTTACTGCACTTTTAGGTGAAAATTTCGTTACAATAAATGTGCGTATAATATGTTTATTGAAACAACGAGTACAGTCACTCGCTACTTGGAAAATGAATTTGTTTTTTTATTTTTTTAAGTATCAGAAGTACAGATTTACAGAAATACAAGACTGGCTAACGAGTGAAAAAAAATCTACTCGGAAATATCAATGCGGTTGAAAAATAATATACCATATGGATCAGATCTCCATCAGATGCGTGTATAGATGGGATGATGATTCGATCGTATAGCTTTGATTGTAAGTATATATGTAAGCTGGAGGGCCAATTTGCGCGCTTGATTAACATTCGCGGCCGCGAAAAAAGAGCCGAGTCACGACTAAACAGTTTCAAAATGGTACATATACACATGTACCGTAAGACGTCCAAAGTACAATGTACGTCTCTGTGCATGCTCGAGTATACGTCTCTTCGATGATAAATATATGCGTCATTGACCCGGGAGCACCTATATATTTATACAATTGACACAATTAACAGAATGGATCCCCGCACCGACCCATCCACATACTCACACGTACATCGATAATCTTGCAATCTCGAGGCTGTAAGAATCACCCCCTCCACCCACTAGTCATTGTTATCGAGGTAAACGTTAAGCGGGAAGGAAAAAATTCCTCGTTCGCGGCGTTGTTGAGCGCATTGTTAAGTTACGAGCATCAGGAGCGATCGAAACAAAGAGAAATCGTTTACGCAAACCTACGAAAATCCATCACCCGATATGATACACCTATAGGCAAGGCAAGACTTGTGAGCACACTTGCTCTATACGCCTGTAATATACGGGGCGGAGGGGGATAGTATTAAAATAAAATTATCCGCGAGATCGTGCGGCGGCGCACAATTACGTACGTATAGCCGAGGCCTTTTTAATAAGGAACTGGCGCGCTGCGGAGCTTCCTCCTCCAGCTCGGACGTGCAGGTATATATATATATATATATATATTGTCGGGACCCCGGCATCTCTTTAGGCGCATCTATCTATCTTTTGCTCGCTTATATATATGCACACACGACACGAGAGAAAAAGATATTATACATGTATGGTAGAAGGAGGGGGTGGGCAAAGAGTTGCATACATATATACATATATCCCCAAAGCACACCAGCACCAGAGGACTGTTCGTCTCTGTATAACGTGATTATTATAAAGTCAATACGTTGCTAACTCATCAGCCGGCTCCGCCCTCTAACAGCCCGGTAATGTGTGCGATGCTGCGCGTCTTGTGTGTATATATGTAGGTGTACATTATATATACACTATACGGTGAATCTCTGCTCCCGCTTCGGTGCATATCATGCAGGAGGAGGCGAGCGAACGAGCGAGAGGTACATTATATAGATAAAACGTAATGTGGGGGAAAAATGGAAGAGAGCAAGGTGCTTGCTCTTTCAGCTGCTCCTTTCGTTCCTCTCCTCCACCGTCTTCCTTATATGGCTTACAAGGGGGTATATGTATACATAAAGGTGTATGTGTGTGTACACGTTACCCGGGTCCACGTGCATATAACGCGTTATTACCGCAGTCACGAGGCTATGCACAGCGAGCGTTGGCTTTTCATTTTTCGACTCGTTATCCCAAACCCCATCCTCTCTCTCTCTCTCTCTCCCTCTCTTCGATCTATTCGCAACACTCGTGCAGGCAGAGGCTTCGCGTATACAACTGATGCGCGTTATCTCGCACCATCTCGGCGATTACCTATGCACCGCCTCGTTATACTCTTGGGCTTGTGGGAGATGTTTATTGTTGTTTCATGGTAATGCTGTGAATATTGTGCGCAGCGTCAATACTTTAAACCAATAAGTGGCTGAAAATTTAGAGTCCGCAGTTATAGTGCTGTGCCATATATACAACGTATACACATACCTCCGCGAGTGTGGCCCTTTTTCAACTGTTCGATTGCCATATATGCGAAAATTAACTTGCATAAGGAGGATAAGTGATTGTTGCTGAATGTATACTATCATAATATATTCACCCCCACCCCAATGATCAAGAGCGTATTATGTGCTGTATGCGATGTTTAATTTGTAATTTGTGACTATTTTTATATCAAATGATCGATCTAATGAGAAACAAGAAAACAAGAAGGATTCGAGATGCTCGCGTGATATTGATGGCACTTTAATTTACAACAGAGTGATCGTGGTACATAATATTATTATCTTGATATCACCTTGAACGAGAGAGTAAGTGTACTGTCGTGGAGCAAGGGATGCCGAGCAACTGCATGTACAGAGCGATGAACCTTTTGCGATTGCGATGCAAGGACTTTTTATTCGAGTTTTCTCTTCTGAGTTCAAAGGGGAAACCATTGGGTATGTACCTTACGATACTAGGACTCATAAGTGTCGCTCGCAAATACATGGTGATGGAAGAAAGATTCTAAGTACATACCATCAGCGTTAATATTAATTGTATCGAGAGACGCTGTACAGGTGACTTTGTCATAAATATCCCAATTTATTCTTAAACCTATTATCCCAAAAATCGATTTAAATTCCCGTCTTGGGCCCGTGAAATTAATATAATCCTTAAACGCGAGCGAAGCTGAAAATGCAAAAACCTGTACGGTATGCCAGTGGAGAAACAAAAAACGGGAAGAGAAGAAAAGGTACCAGCGAT